TGATATGCTGAAGCTGGGGAACAAAGGTAGTGATTGAATCCTGAACAGAAATATTCAAATGCCTGTGAAAAAGGGAAAACTGAGTATAACAACAACTAAGGGAATATCAGTTCCAGGATTTGCAGTCATGGACAAGATAGATAGAGAGATAGAGAGACAGATAGATAGATAAGAAAATATAGATAAATGGAAATAAGGGAGACAAACTAATATTACTATGTAAGCATGGATGATTTGTTTAATAGCCTTTAGTAGAAATTGTTCTAGAATGATTTTATCATTTATTTGCACACATATTTTTAATCTTCTTGAAAAAAATAGAAAAAAATCCCAATTAAATTTAACTTGGTATAAAATTCATCTTCTCAAATATCTATATTGTGTTTTAATTTTGGATGCTGCCATACTTGGAGGATGGTCAGCCAACATATTACAATAATTCACTTATAGCATGGAATTGATTATGCTGACTAAGGAGCTGTATTCTTCTTGTTATAAGTATAGAATATTTAATACCAATTAATATCCCAAAATTAATTAGAATGCATTTCACAGCTCAGGAATCTTACAAATAACTTCCTCATTAAAAGAAAAACATAATGAGGCATTCTGATGACAAGATAATCAGTGCATGCTGTATTTGCTTTGTATTTTGTAGCAGGATAATATTTTAATAGCCCAGGGAAATGCATTTCTTGGAAAGGCGTCACTGATTGAAACCCAAAGGAGAGGCGTTGCTTTGTCAGGTGTGAGAGGGATTAACCGCATTGCTGTGAGTCAGAGCCTTTTGAAAGAAAGTTTATTTTAGACTCTGAAGGAAATTATAAGTAAAATATGTCTTAGGAGTCAAATTATACTTTCTCAGAAGGCGTCATGTGGAAAACTGTTTCTCAGGCAACCTGTGGTAGATGGTCTCCAAATATGGCTGCTGCCATTTGCTTCCTCCTGCACACACATGCTGTTCCCTCTTCAAAAAATGGGGAGTGTCCCCTCCTGTGGATGTGCTGCCCCTGTCACTACTTTGACAAAGAGAAAACTGTAAAGAAAGGAGCTTCAAAGATCTCTGAGCCCACAGATTATGACGATCAGCAGAACGCACTTCCTTACACTTGGGAAACTCTTAGACCCAACCTCCTTTCTGTGACAAAGTCCAAGCAGCCAAATGAGGATTCCTTCTCCTCCCTGTGGGATTCCCAGCCAACAGCCAACACCAGCTTCCTGTCACCTGAGGAGGTCACATTTGTCCTTCTAGTCACCTCAGTGCTATTGCTGACGCCCTGGGAAGCAGAAGAAATGCATGGCCGATCCTCAGCATGGAGAGACCCCACATCACTGTTAGTCAGAGCTGCTAAATTTGAGGGACATTTGTGACACAGCGATTGACAACAGAAAACGTGTTATAAATCGTGCTGCTTAGGGTCAATTATTGCTGATTTTAGCTTGTTAGGTTTGAGAGAAAACTGTTTCTTCCATTTTGTTCACTTACATTCTTTCTATCATTGGTTTGCTACAAACTATCTTAGGGAATGAATTTCAAAAACATACTAAATCACATCTGGAGGCAGAAAAAAATATCCAGCGAGGGGGTGACGTCTTAGAATTAGGAGGCAAATGTGTCCCAAGACAGACAAGTCTGAGAAAGGTTATATTCTGAGAAACCCTGGAAAAGTAACCTTTAGAGAACAGAAGAAAATCCAAGAGTAGTTCCTAACTTCGTCTGGATTATCATTACCATGAGAAATACCAGAGTTCTGGGGTACATTTTGATAACTAACTTTTGGAGAGAGAGGAATGCAGAAATGTGAGGGCAAATGGAGAAAGTACACAAAAGAAGACAGTGACTCCTGGGCAAAAAATAATCTCATTTGAAGTTTGTGATGATGTCTAAGCCTTAGGTGATGTGCAGACTGTCGTCAGACCTGGGGGAGAACCGTGAGGGCGTCTGAGACAGGCCCGCCATCATCTCACGCCCACCTGCTCCCTCCTGGGGAAGCTCCCTCTGCCACAGAGGACACACACGCTTGTCTGACACCACTTCTCAGCCCATGATACAAACCTACCTTTTGCAGTGGCATCTGAAAATAAATATACACAGATAAGCATATGACCTTAGATTTCCAGGGTTTTTCATTCACATTGAGCATATAAAATATACCATTATTGGTTACATCACTTGTTCATAAGTTGTACTGAAAAAATGCTGAAGAAATATATGATTTCTCTCTGAAAACTGATGATTCTATGGACATAATGAGTATAGATTTCAGTGTATTTTACATTGGATAACGAGCTCTCTCCATGGCTCAGTCTTTTTACAATTTACTTTATCTTGTGTCCTCATGAGATGTAAAAGTATTTTGTCTGGATGAGATTTATTCGCAACCACAATAAAAACAATACAAAGCGTCGTTATGTATCAGTCCCTTTAATTGTCTAGTTTATTCCCTGAAACACAGAAAATGTCCTCTGTCGATGAAATTTCATAAACATTACACAGCTCTGGGGTGGAGACGAAAATAAATTTTCAAGAGTGAAGCACATACATGCTGATGATACAATATTTTTAAAAGGAATAATTGTCTGAGTTGTGGCCTTTTCTTCAGAAATATATGGCACATTTTCTTCCAAATGTCTTGTATACAGCAAATAGTCAATGACTGCTTTGAAAAGCGATCATTTCCATCTTTACCTTGGCCCTTTATAGGCAATAATGCCTCCCGCATACAAGTGGATGCTTGCAGGACTTCTCCAACCCCATCCCATCTATCTCCTGGCTGGAAAGCAAGCTTGACAAGGGAATTGCCAGCTGAATTTATCACAGTCTTAGTGTTCATGATCCTGCTTACGTTGACTCAATGATTACAAAGCTAAGAGGAAGAAATCACTGTAAGTGTGTGATACAAACGTGACCATAGTCACAGCACAATGCTCATTGCTGCCTCTGGGCCACCATGCTTATGCCAAACTCACTCTAGATTAGTCAGAAAACCGCCACTTATGTGTCCATTTGTTTTCAATAACTAAGTGGGATATTCTCGTTCTATTGTAAATATCTCACTACATTTCCCATTGCATGAGAAATATTTTAGAGGAAATATTCAAAGATTTTTTTAATATTAACTCTAAAGAGAAGCATTTTACCAGGAATAAGAGAGAGAATGGGTCATGAATGCCTTAGTCTGCTGGGAATTCTTGCTACCTTCTAGGGAGTAAATAAATTATTCTGAATTTAAAAATAAGTAAACAGTAAAAGAGAGCAGGTAGGCAGGGAAGTCAGCCCTTAGGAAGGATGGCAGCCACGCTGTGGGCTGTCTCGTGGTGGGCACAATGTGCTAACACACATGTGAAGAGATGTGAACCAATAACCCAAATCACATCCACTGATGTACACCATTGTTGATGCAATAAATAAAAATGTACACAAAAAAGCAAGTCAGGAAACACTAACAAGATAACTGCAAAATTATCAACAGCTCATTCGGGGCTGAATGTCTTTAGCTGGAGGACTTTGAGGCCGTCTGCTACAAGCACAGCCTGGGATAGGAGGCATGTCCCTTGTGCCACCGCTACTGGAAACCAGTGCACACACAACACGTGGTGTGTTAAGATCACATCCCCTGCAGGTATTTTCCTTCAGTTCACTCACTGAGAGAAGTGGGCCCTTGGCCAAAGGGCTGGGACACTTCCCACTCACTTATGCTACGAGATCCGGCCCCAAGGAGCCATTGAAAGTCGTACTATATGAAAATGACCAGCAAGGGCCTCCCTGGTGGCGCAAGGGGTTAAGCACCACACTATGAAGCAATCCGCAGCTTCTGCAGCACAAGTTCAATTCCTGGCTGGCCAGGGAGATACCCACATGGTGCCGCAGACCTCTCCTGTCTTCCTGCTGTTCCCCTCAGCAGTGTATTTCAGCCAGTCTGCCTGTTCTGCTCCCCGCTCTGGCTCTGGTGAATCCTCTCACCCCCCACCTCCTCTGGCCTGTACCCCAGCTCTTATATGCATAAATAAACAAATCTTTAAAATAAAAGAAAATGACCAGAGAACGTGCAAAAGCGATTGAGCCCATATTTTATGAAGGTTTTGGTGAGAATCTGAAACAGACAGATGTGAATTAATCTGACAAATGTATCTGAGCAATTTTGCTCAATTACTTTAAAAACAGATGAAAAACAAGACAAGATCAGCTCTGGGAGAATAACGGGCAGAGTTCTGTGCTGCTTGGAATGTGTGTCCTTCAGGGGCTGGGCCGCCGGCCAGCTCAGGGGCTACACTTACACGTATTTACTGAACAAAACATATAGGTCCAGAAAATGCATGAAGATCTGAGGACATATCATAGTCATACTACAGGCCCCTGACCGAGATTTCTCGCCAGCGCTCATAAAGGACAGAGAACAAAGTCAAGGGACTGACCCCCTACACCCCGTTAGTGGCCTGGTCTGAGCACAGTGAGCCCCCCACACGCTGGTGTTGTAAATGTATCCAGCCTCTCTTCCCAGCATCAAGAGCTCCTCAGCATCCATTCCATTTTCAAGTTCCTTATTCTTAGCTGTGCTTCGAGCTTGTGCTCTTGGGCAAAATAGTGCTAAACGTTGACAGTTCAATGTGCTAGACTTCCAGTGTGTTTGCTATTTAATAAAAGATTATTGTAGCCATGTTTATAAAACTACTGAATAGAATAGCTCCTTGTCGATTGAATTATGGGTCTCCCATCTCCCAGGGACACTGAGTAGCACTACATGCTTTTTTTTTTTTTCCTTTGGAAAGGGACTTTTCTACCCAGTGTTTCACAAATGACATCAAAAAGTTGCTCTTGTCTAAGGTATATCGATTATATAACGCCACTTTCTTACACAGTGACTTAGTAATCCAGACCGTAAAACAGAAGTACAGAAGTTATTTAGTTGTGTGTTATGATTCATAATGAATTCTGCTCATCATAAGAGGAGCTTTTAGAATCCATAGACAATAGTAACTTTTCTTAGAATTCTCACGCTCGGCGGTTTTTGACGGAGTCTGTAATTTCATTCTCTACAGGCTGCTTTCCCAAGAATTCCTTCCTAAATCTTCGGTCTGCTTGTCATCCACAGCATTAACCATTCTTCCCAGCTTTCTACCTTGTAAATTTTTGGTAAGTCTCCTATATAATGTCAATATTTGAAGTTCTAAAATTCTGATAATGCTACATATTGATCTAATATACTCAATAAAATATAACCCAATACTTGATCAAAGACAAATCATCTGATGTTTCAACTGGACACTTGCTCTAAGATGTGGTTTTCCATATACCAAACACTTAAAATGGTTGCATTTTAACCACATAGCAATGCCAATATTAAATATACTTTGCCAAAGGGAACATTTAGGTTCATAGAACTTAAGAACTTAAATCTCAATGAGGGGCAGACCACAGATCCCAATTGAAATCTTTTCTACTTTGCTGCAAAGCTTAAAATCTTTCTGTGAGACCAGTAGTTTATAATGTGCTCCACTGAGACTCAGCTGAAGCAGGAATAGAGAAGATACATGATGGGAAGACCTAGAAAGGTTTGATTATTACTCCACTGATTATATCATTGGTAATCAATTAGTCTACTTTATCGTAAAAATATTTATGAATGTCATATATACATATCACATGTATAATTTATTAATTTAAATTTCCAAAGGGTCATTAAGATTCACATGAGTCAGGAACCTTATCCAAGGTCAGGCCTTGTTCTGCATTTCAATGATGCAAGCAGTCACAAAGGACAGGCCCAAGCTGAGGTCTGGGATCGCCGCTGCCCCTCCCCAGGCTGGCCCCTGCCGTGCTGGACATCTCCTGGCCCAGGTGACTTGTGATGTCTCTAAGTAATCTGTGTAGTCGGACACGGACACAGAGGGGGCACAACTGGGTAATGAAACACTTCCGTTGTAAATGTAGAGCAGCAAATACCTGAACCGACACTCTCCAGGCTGCTGTTGTTTAATGATGTGTGGGTTCCAGGTTCTTGGAAAGATTTACTGTATCTGATTAAAAGCATCTTGTAGAAAACGACCTACTTACTAGCAAATATTTCTAGTGCACTTGTCACTTTGATCATAAGAATGTTTATAAAGATATTTAATTGGTTCACTTCCCTTTTTTCTTTCCCAGGGACATTTCCTCTATAAAGCTAGACAGTGATTTACCGGGGAGCTGCTTGTCCTTTCTTTCCAGTTTCTAAAGCTAAAATGAAAATGCGAGAACCACTGATATGTATAAATTATGTAACGTCATTAACCAACTTTCACTTTGACAATGAAAGATTGAAGTTTTGGGTTATAATTATATTTATTTATATAATTATATTTATTTAACACTTTTGGGGGGTTGCTTTAATTTTATAGCGAAAGGGTTACCATAGAGCAAGTAGCCTTTTCTGATCAGCTTCTTTTATTTAGTAATATGAATTTAATGTTCTTCCAAATGTGGGCAGCACATTTCTTTTTACCAGTGAATGATATTTCATGGTCTGGATGTACTACATGTATTTAGCCATTCGTCTAGAAAGGACATCTTATTTGCTTCCATTATGAATATGGTCATTATGAATAAAGTCATTATGGTCATTATGAATAAAGTCATTATAGATATTCTTATGTAGGTATTTCTGTGGGTGTCTTCAACAACCCACATTTGGATAAATGTCAAAGAATGGATTTGCTGGTTTGTATGGCAAGAGAATGTTTAGAGTTGTTAGAAACACCCCAGTGTCTTCCCAGGGTGTTGCACCATTTGGAATCTTACCATAATGAATGAGCCTTCCCCCAGCTCCACATTCTGGCCAGCATTTAGTATAAACGCTCTGGCTTTGGCCATCATTTAGAAAAAAATTGAGGACTATTATAATCATATTTTAGATTAACAGTAACAGAAACTTAATGCAGTTCAGTGGGAGACATCGATTGTAATTGAAGCAATTGATCCAATTGATCAAATGATACATTTTTTATTTTATTTTATTTTATTTTTTAAGATTGATTTGTTTATTTATACAAATACTGGGTACAGTCAGAAGCACAGGAGGGTGAGAGAATTCACCAGAGCCAGAGCACAGAGCAGAACAGGCAGACGGATGAAATACACTGCTGAGGGGAGCAGCGGGTGGCAGGAGAGGTCTGCGCTCCATGTGGAACCCTCGCCGGCGGCCGGGGATCGAACCCGCACTGCAGAGGCTGCGGGCAGCTTCGCAGCCCAGCACTCAACCGCTGCGCCACCAGGAGAGGCCCTACATTTTTTTAAATTTGAAAAGATCTTGCCTGTGAAACTGATATGCCTAATTTAAACCAAGTCTGATTGTCTAGTAAGGAATAGAAATACACTCTTTTCACTAAACTATCTTCAATCTTAATTTAAATATCTGATAACTTTGGAGAATAAACCATTTTTTTTTTTTTACAAACTTTGAGAACTTCAGAAACTTTTCTAGTGACCAGTAATAACAAGTACATCACAATTTCCTGTTGAATCTCTGATTAGCTCATTTCTTGCTCATTGTCATCAAGCATATTTGTCACTCTGTTGCCATGTATATCCTCTAACCTTGAGGTAAACTCATTTTGTGAGTGGCATTCATGGAACAGGATCATTGATCGGAATAGTTATACTTCCTTTGTTCCATTGTTGACTCACTGAATAACTTTAACCACTAATTCCACTTAGCTTCCTTGTAATCAACTTTGTATCGTCTTTGAAAAATGTTCCCTGTGGATAAAAAGAGAAAACACGTTTGTAAACAAAATAATGGTTAAGAAATAACTACAACAACAACCAAAAAACTGCATTATTGTTTCAAATATTGTCTTTAAAGCAATTGGAGTTTTATATCCGGGTGGCATTCTCTCTTTCTAGGTGACTGCCATAAGCTAATGGGATGTATCAAAACATATTCTTAATATAGGGCACATAGAGCAGGGAAATCACAAATGGCAAAGCCAGTCGAATTCAAGTTCACAGATGTTCTGAGCTTTTGTGGTTAAACCAGCCCAGTTTGAATAATAAGTTATATACAAACAAGTTATCACTGCTGTTAATTTAATGCATCTACTATGTCTTTGACTCTTGTTCTTCCCCCAGCCATCAATTCCCATTTTTATGGGAATGTTAAAGGATTGCTAAAAAAAATTCAAAGTGGCATATTCAACAAGACATTCTTTTTTTTCCTTTGCATGAGGACTTTGATTTAAAGGTCTACAGGTAATATCACCTAACGCTTAAAGCAAGTACCTGAAAATCATCTCAACTTGTTAACAACTAAGTAATTAATTACAAAGCGAACCTTAATACACTGGTAATTGCTAAATAAACAGATAATGCAGCAACTTTGCCTTTGCATTTATCTTGCATTTATTTAACCCATCCTCATTACAAACAGTGGATTAGGTAATGGACATAAAATGAAAGGAAAAATCCAGATTTGCAAGACCTACATGAAAGAGTTAAATAAGAAAATTCTACTAAGCTGCTTCCCCTGGACAAGGATATTCACAGCAGACACATTTCTTTGGAGAGAGAGCGAAGAGTGCTTGAGCAATATGGGAGTCTTTTCAGGATAACTTACCCATTCGATAAGGAAGATGGAGAAGCAACTTATATTTGAGTTACTTGCAATTTGGACATGCTATATACATTTTGTTGTTTTATAATTTAGTGATTAAAGAACATTTGTAATCAACAAGAGAAAGGCATCTAGAGAGCAAATTTCCCCATGACCATGTTGGGGAGAAAGTATCCTGACCACCTGCCACAGTAAGTCCTAATTTGACAGTCAGTAGGTTCTTAGAAAACCTCAACTTTAATCAAAATGGGCATTATGGAACCAATTTTACCATATGCCAAGTGATATAAACAAAATCTGAGTTCCGAAGGCATATGTCTAGACACAAACGTAACCAAACTTCTAAAGAAAGACCCAAAGAACGTCTAATATGAAGCAGTAATTTTTTTCATTCATTTCCTCATTCATTCATGTTCCCACTTGTTCATTTCAGGTTAGGGCTGCAGACAGGGGCATAGCCACTCACGCTCATATCCACACACATGGCATGTGCATGCACGTGTGTGCAAGTGCACACACACTCACACTGACTGGGACCATCGAGACACACTAAGGGACCTCAGGTGAATGTCCTTAGGATCTGGAAGGAAACTTTAAAACACTCATATGGACAAAAGAAGAACATGCCAACTCCACACAGACCGTGGCCCAGGCCAGGGGGTGATATTTTTGTTCTCACTGACATTGAACTAGATGTTACCTGCTGAATTTATGAATCACTGACTGTGAGATCACATTTAATGGCCTTAGACTATTGAGTACAGGTGCATAGATGATGGTCTTTCAGCTCCTTCCTAAAGTTTGGGTAAAAAAATAACAGAGAGAAGATATTTTGAGAGAAAGTGTTGCACCTATTTGGCATACAATCACTGTTGTCCACATGATAACAACCCTGGGAAACTGAACACACAGATGGATTTGGCCAGACCACGTATGACAATAAGGTGTGACCCCCAATTAGCAGCAACTAGCTGGGAAAGCTAAACCACAGCCTTACAGAAATCAGCCCAGAACCGTCAGGACTCCAGCACTGGTTGTCCTGCTTCCAAGTTAGGAAAGCCTGACAGGCTCGCAAGCCTAACCAAGATGCCCTGCTCCCAAGCCTGCCTCAGTTTCCCCAACCGCCAAGCACCTCTGAGTCTCCACCAAAGGTGATGACATATGAGCCTTGTGCAGCTAACACTGTTAAGTGGGTTTTTATTTCCACATCCACAATCTGTCATTCTGTTTAGGAGCATGGCTAGGAAGACAAACAATCAGTTTGGGCATAAAAGGCAAGCAAGCCTGGCTCAATGGGATGGAATCTACAGCCTTGAGTTTCCTTCCGATGTCAAATGACTAAGGCCAACAGCCACCGCCATTTTAACAGAAATCATCTTCTTGGTTGAGTCACAAACATTTTAATTAATCTTTTGGTTGTACATTTTCTCTCTGTTTAGTTATGGAATTTATTTTGAAGAAAAGATTTTCTTCTTAGTTATTTCAGAGGCTTTGTTTGAATCCGTGCTTAGCGGTGAATAAGGACCAGATCAGCCTTGTGGTTCAG